TCCCACTTGAAGACTGATTTCAATCTGTCTTCACACCTCGATCTATGCAGCAGCTCTTCCCGGTCTTTATACTATTGCAGGCCAACTGAAGCTGAACACAGCTTCAGTTTGTCAATAGTCACCGTCTTTGTCAGCATGTCTGCCGGATTTTGAGCTCCACTGATCTTTTCAAGCTTCAAATTTCCATCTTCCAGAAGTGACCGGATAAAATGATACCGCATCTGTATGTGCTTCATTATGGAATGAAAAGACGGATTCTTCGCTAGATGAATAACACTTTGACTGTCGCAGTATAAAATATTATTTTCTTGTTTCTTGCCTAATTCATCCAAGGAACTTTGAAGCCACACCATTTCCTTGTTGGCTTCTGTAACAGCGACATATTCTGCTTCAGTTGTGGAGAGAGCAACTATCTTCTGCAATTGAGAAGCCCAACTCACTGCAGTACCTCCTAGAGTATATACATACCCTGTAGTACTCTTTCTGATATCAACATTTCCTACTAGATCAGAATCTACATAGCATGTTAGTATTATATCTCCACCTTTGAAACAAAGTGCTTTACCTTTGGTGGCCCGTAGATATCTGAGGATCCATTTGACTGCTTCCCAGTGTACCTTGCCTGGATCATTCATGTACTTGCTAACAACTCCCACTGCTTGAGCAATATCTAGTCTTGTACAGACCATGGCATACATCAGACTTCCAATTACTGAGGCGTACGGGACCTTCGCCATGTGTGCACGCTCTTCCTCTGTCTTCGGTGACTGTTCTTTGGAAAGTTTGAAATGAACACCTAAAGGTGTACCCACTGGTTTCGTATCTTGCATGTTGAACCTAGAGAGTACTTTGTTGATGTACTCAGCTTGTGATAACATCAAGGTCCTAGACTTATTGTCTCTCTTGATCCTCATTCCAAGAATCTGCTTTGCAGCGCCAAGATCTTTCATTGCGAACTGCTTTGATAATTTTTGCTTCAAATTTATAATCTCTTACAGATCTGATCCTGCAACGAGCATGTCATAAACGTATAACAATAAAATAATGAAGCTATTGTCAAACCTCTTGAGATAGCAACAATGATCTGCTTGGCATCTAGTGAAACCGTCGATGCTCATAAAGCTGTCAAATTTCTTGTACCACTGTCTGGGAGCTTGTTTCAATCCATACAAGCTCTTCTTCAAACGACATACTAGATTTCCCTTGCCTGCATTTATGAAGCCTTCTGGTTGCTTCATATAGATCTCCTCCTCTAAATCACCATGAAGGAAAGCTGTTTTTACATCTAACTGTTCAAGATGTAAATTCTAAGCAGCTACAATTTTCAACACTAATCTGATTGTAGTCAGTTTCACGACCGGAGAAAAAATTTCTTTGTAATCGATACCTTCCTTTTGCTGAAAGCCTTTGACAACCAATCTTGTCTTGTAGCGCTTGTTCCCATTATGTTCTTCTTTGATCCTGTAAATCCATTTGTTATGCAGAGCTTTTTTACCTGGTGATAATTCAGCTAAGTCCCACGTCTGATTTGACATGAGTGAGTCCATCTCATCTTGCATAGCAGACTCCCACTTGACTAAATCCTCCACCTGCATTGCTTCGTCATAACACTCCGGTTCACCACTGTCAGTCAGCAACAGGTAGTGCAAAGAAGGCGAATAACGCTGGGTTGGCTTAGGAATTCTGGAGGAGCGTCTCACTTCTGGCGTGCTTGGTTCTTCTTGAACTGTTTCAGGGCTAGTCTGAACATCCTTTTCCAGAAATCTCCTCAAATTTAGCAAATTCTTTTGTTTCAGCTTTTGTACTGGAGCTACTTGATTCTGCAGTTGATCTGTCTTTGTACATCACATTCTCATTGAATATGACATCTCTGCTTCTGATGATCTTCTGATTTTCATAGTCCCAAAATCGGTAACCAAACTCATCACCACCATAACCAATAAAAACACATTTGTTAGATTTGGCATCAAGTTTACTTCTTTCAGCAGAATCTATGTGTACATAAGAGATACAACCAAAAATTCTTAAATGTGAAAGGTTTACCTCTTTTCTGCTCCAAGCTTCTTCCGGTATTCCACCATCCAAGGGAACTGAGGGTCCACGGTTGATTAGGTAGGCTGTGGTATTGATAGCTTCAGCCCATAGGAACTTGGGCAGTCCGGCATGTATCCTCATGCTTCTGGCACGTTCATTCAAAGTTCTGTTCATGCGCTCCGCTACGCCATTTTGCTGCGGTGTCATGGGAACTGTTTTCTCCATCTTGATCCCGTTGTTTGTGCAAAACTCTTTGAATCTACTGTCTTTGTACTCTCCTCCATTGTCTGACCTCAACTTCTTTATCTTCAAACCAGTTTCATTTTCCACCATGGCCTTCCATTTTCTGAAGGTATCAAAGACTTCTGATTTCTTCTTCAGAAAATAAACCCACACCTTCCTTGTAGAATCATCAATAAAGGTGGCATAGTACAGTAAGCCTACAAGAGATAAAACTGGAGATGGCCCCCGTACGTCGGTATGAACCAATTCTAACTTTTCTGTCTTGGGTGTCTTACTAATCTTTGCAAAACTGACTTTCTTCTGTTTGTCAAATATGCAATCCTCGCATAGGCCGACATCTACATTCTTCATATCCGGCAGCTTCCCTTTTGACAAAAGTGTCTTCATCCCTTTCTCGCTCATATGGCCAAGCCTTTGGTGCCATAGCTTTGATTTTTTATCTGCATCTGTTACTGCAATGATATTCTCTAAGTTAGAGGTTACATAGAGAGTACCATTTTTCTTACCTCGAGCAATGACGAGTGCTCCTTTGGTAATCTTCCATTCATGACCCGAGAAGGTTGTACAATAACCCTCTCCATCAAGCTGTCCCACAGAGATCAAATTTCTTCTAAGACCAGGAATATGTCTCACTCCTTGCAACTTCCATGTGGTTTGATTTGGTAATTTTAATCGGATGTCTCCCTTGCCAACAATCTTCAAGGTTTCATCATCTGCTAGATGTACCTTTCCGAAATCACCGCTGACGTAGTTCTCCATGATTTCTCGGCATGGGGTGGAGTGGAAGGATGCCCCTGAATCAAGAATCCATGATTCAATCGGACTGTTGACGCTTAGAATCATAGCATCACCTCCTTCCTCGGTCACGTTGGCAGACTCTTGTGCGCTGGTATTTTTCTTTGGTGCCCGGCACTCCCTCTTAAAATGACCCTTCTTGTCACAATTGTAGCACTTGAAGTCTTTCTTTCCTGATCTAGATTTGCTCCTTCTAGATTTTGATCTGACATGATTTGAACTTCTTTCTGAAGTTCTTCCCCTAGACTTCGTGTGTAAAGCTGAGGAGGTTGAAGCTTCACCTGATTCTCTCCGCCGAATTTCTTCACTAAGAACCAGATCACGAACGTCATCGAACTTCAACTTGTTGCTTCCCGATGAGCTACTCACAGCCGTGACTGTAGCGTTCCAGCTTTCTGGTAGGGAAGACAAAAGAATCAACGCTCGAACTTTCTCATCAAACTCAATCCCAACTGAACTCAACTGGGTTGTGACTATGTTGAGTTCATTGAGATGTTGAGCTACCGATGCGCCTTCTGTCATCCGCAAATTGAACAACCGCCTCATTAAGTGAACTTTGTTTGAGACAGATGGCTTCTCATACATGCTACAGAGAGCCGCCATAAGACCCGCCGTGGTCTTTTCCTTTGCTATGTTGAAAGCAACATTGCGGGATAACGTCAATCGGATAACTCCAAGGGCTTGTCTGTCGAGAAGAGCCCACTCTTCATCCTTCATATCATCTGGCTTACTTTCTGAGAGAGGTTGATACAGCTTCTTTTGGTACAGATAATCTTCAATCTGCATCTTCCAAAAGCCAAAGTCCGCACCATCGAACTTTTCAATTTTTAACTTCCCTTCATCTGCAACCATCGCTCCCACTCGAATCTGACTTCCTCTGGATCATTTCTGACAATTTCTGCGAACCACCGTGTATTAAAACACCTCTGTCGACAAGTTGATATCGCCGGCAAAATTTCACTATTCACGAAATTCACTATTCACGTGAATAGTAATCTCACAGAAATTTGACAGACGTCACAACCAGAGCTCTGATACCAATTGTTGGGAGATTACTCAGATTTCCCTATCACCAGAAAGCGAATAAATGCGCAAAAAAAAAAAAGAGACGCAAGATTTACGTGGTTCGGCACAAAATTGCTTACATCCACGGGCTGCTGCAGATCTTATACTGAAAGGGGGAAAATTACAAGCACTCTGAATATTGCTCTGATATTCTCACTAAGTACACACACTCTCTCTCTCTCTCTCTCTCTCTCTCTCTTTTTCACTCACTGAGTTCTCTCTGGCTCAGTACTCTCTCTTAGCCTCTCTACACAATTTCTCACTGACCCTTGATTGTTTCTTAGCAGTTGAAAAGATGATCAAATAAGGGAAGAGGGGGACCCTATTTATAGGTGCAGAAGCTCCTCCATTCTTATTTTTTTCTTCCTCCCATTTTTTACTTTTGCTCCTGCCTTTCTCTTTTGTCAACAAAAATAGCTGAAGCTTTCGGTGGCTTTTTCATTTTTGTCAAAAAGTGGTTGAAGCTTTCGGTGACAGCCAATATTTGACTAACAATTTACCCCCTCATAATTTTTCCAAATCACAAACCTCATTTATTACAAAACTCTCCCTCCCATCAATACGTCCTTTTTGATCATTTTGATAACAGTGACGGATTATTAATATTATCCACTCATTTGCCAAACAGTCTACTAAAAATATATTTCAATCCACTAAATTTACCAAACACTTTAAATTGTAACCCAGTTAGATTATAATCCAAACTTTCGAAACATGGATGGGTGAAGGGCGTCCAAATTATCGTGAAAAGAGAGAAATGCACCTCTTCCTTTATTTCCAAGTCTTCTTCTGTCACCTCAGGGAACTTCAACTAAACCAGCTTGCTCTTTTAACATACGACATAAATGCTCTCTAAAGCAATATTTTAGATCTCAACAAAATTAAAAAATTAAAATAAAAAAGGCTGACGCCTTTTCTCGCTTTGGTGACAAGTTGGAAAACTGCAATATAAATGGCTGACATATAGAAAAGAATATACACTGTTCCGAGTATAAATTCTGTGTACAAAAATACAAAATGAAGGTAGAAGCTCAAGATGCAAGATCTGCACGACAATTCTGATCAGGTTTGTGCCCACGGAGGAACTCCCGTTGTTACACGACCTTCTTCACTCTTAACAACACTTTTACAGTGCAGTGAAGAAAGTGTTTACTTCAGTTATTAGAATGCTGGACGAGAACGGAAAATGGACTTTGAGACGCGGCTGAGACTTCTTTAGCTGGAGCTTCTTTAATCGGTTCTTCCTTCTTCTTTGGCTGCTCCTGGGATTTCTTTATTACAGCTTTATTAGGCACCAGAACCATGAATATGTCCCTGATGCTGAAATTCTTGCTCTCTTCACTTGCCAGCTGAGGTTCAGATTGATAAATCAGAGGACTTACATAATTTACGTTCTTATAAAGTACGAAGAGAGGTTTCAAGTACGCATCAGATGCCATTTACATAAACCAAGAATTAGATGAATTATAACCTAAAATTATGGGTGTTAATGTTACGTGTACGTACCATTTTGAAGGGGTATCAAAAGCTGTGAGGCATTTCTATCAAGGAAGTACATTAAACAACACCATTTTGAAGGGGTATCTAAGGTGTCTTGACAAGCGAAAAGGCAAATAGGAAGTAAAAAAGTTTAAGAGGTTTGTCTTTTTCCCCCCTTTTAGTTGGTAATATTGTTTGAAAAATATGAAGTGAAAGGTGGAAAATTGCAGTGACAACTAAAAATGAGATTGGTAGAAAATGAATATCTAAAAAGGAAATAGCAACAAGAGAATGAAAAGTTAAAACTTCTGTCTACTGTCAATTCACTTGCTATCTTCTTTCTTTAAAAAAAATGGAGAATTTTGAAAGGGATACAATTTAATATGGCACCTTCATTTTTGAACCACCTTCCAACTGTCAAACAGAAAAAAAGGAAAAAATAAAATAAAATTGAAGACCTCTTTTCTAATATCTAGACCACTCTCCATTTACTTCTTAGTCACCAAATATGCCCTAACAGAAAGTCGTTGCATGTTTAAGTGTTAGTTTGATCTCCCGAGGTTACAAACTTGAGCAGGGTGTAAATTGCTACTGCAATCAAAAGTTCGGTCTTTATTATTAGAAAGGGGCAGCGAAAAGAAACTTGTTCACTCTTTACATTATACGTTTGTAGACTTTGCAATGGCTATGGATTACTCTCTAATCAAGCAAGAGGTTCACCAAATCAAGTAAAGACAGGATATCCTTTTGTCATTAACCAAAGCACTAAATGTGTGTTACGTATTTACCTACAATTCTTTTATTGTTTTTTTATGGGTGGTTTTTTTTTCTTTTCAGGTTTTTTTAGGGGGATGATGAACTGCAATGTACAAGAAACTTCACACTTCATACATATTTATCAATCCCAACTGTTTTCTTTTGTACACTTAAGATTAATGTCCGTCTTTAGCAGTTGCATTTAGTTCTTTGCAAACAAATTTTATAATTACGAGTCATTCATTCATACATAAAAAAAATTGATAATAGAAGAAAGATACCTCTCCAACATCATTCTGAAATTGCTTTAGAAGTTCAATTGCTTTATCTTTGAACTCATTTTCTCGACGTTTCAAGTTCACGATGACCTTTACCTGGATGACATTTTGAGAATTTGACTATCGTAACAACTAAATGAAGAGAGGGGGGAAAATACATATTGCTATATACAAAAATGTTTTGGCACCTTATCTCCATCATTGAGAAACTTCTTGGCAGCCCTCAGCCGTACGGAATAATCATGGGAGTCAATATTGTACCTGTTATCATTTGAAACAGATAAGTTCATCTGCAAGAATAAGCATATCAGCAATATGTCACAGTTTGGCGAAATGAATAATTTAAATTTCTAGATAGATGAAGATGAACATTTCTGTATTGGCATTATGATATCTATTTGAAATTTAATATAGGGGGTAATAAAACTGCTAGAAGGGAAAAGAATATTGGATATCATTTTTTCAACCTAATACTTTCTAATATGCTATTAGTTCATTAGATTCACCCTTTCCTGTATGAAGAAAAAAGTTCCATTATATAACATCAAACATGAAGATTAATTGACTTTAAACCGGGTTACAAGTTGGGAGCAAACAGATATCTAAATGGAAGTTAAGGGAGATGCTGGGGGCCAATCGAGTCATAAGATTTTTCCTAGCTTGCTTTGGTCAACTGTACACCAACCAGAAAAGGTAAATATCTTACTGATACCTCCATTGTTGTTGGTCCGGTCCGGTTCAATCCACATGTTAGATAGAATGATCAAATTACCAATATAGCTGATACAGAACAACTTCTTAAATTCTAAATGAAAATAAGTGGTTGAAGATAAATCAAATAAATCTAAGCATCACCTTAAGGAAGAAATACTGGTTGTATTAGGAGGATTCATTTTTACTTATATATTATACCTTGTTTATAAATTTTTGTGTTAGTTGGGAATGGAAAATATTTGTTTGAAAAATTATTTTATTTGGACTAGGAATTTTGGATTCTTTTGACCTATAAACACATACCATTGTATTATGTTTCTTTAAAGTATAAATTTGATTTTCTATGAAGAGATGAAATAGAAACCCTAATTCATTATGAGATCTCTTGGGGCTTTATATAGGCCCCTACACAACTTACAAATAAGTCCCTAACTAATACTAATATGTCAACACTCCTCCTTAAGATGGGCGAAAGATATCTACTAAGCCCATCTTATCACATCCTCTAATCATATCTACTGAGCTAAGTCCTTTAGTCAGACAATCTGCTGCTTGGTCCTTAGTCGAAACATGACTTAGCTCCAGTAGTCCACTATCCAACTTCTCTTTGATGAAGAACAGTCTTTTGCTGCCTTCAGGATTGCTGTTGTGACGTTTGATTAGCACCACCAGTAGCTGCAGGTGCTTTTCCCTTTCCACGGGAGGCGAAGTTTGAGTTCGGAGGATTCGCGTCGGTTGGCTCCTCTCGGCTTTCTTCCTTCGGAGGAAGCGTTCGGCTTGCTCTCCTCAGACCTTCAAACTTGTTGTCACACCATAACTTCATCTTAGCTCCTTGATCCAGCTTCAGCTCCACCAGCATACTCTTCAAGCATAGCAACTCAGCAACTCCTAAGGCCATAGCTCTATACTCTGTCTCAGCCGTCGATCTCGCCACCACCGACTGCTTCTTGCTCTTCCACGAGACTAAGTTGCCTCCTATAAAGATGCAGTATCCTGAGGTGGACCTCCTGTCATCAGCACCAAGGTTTTAAATGTCGGATGTCGGGTTTATGTCGGATGGCTGAAATTCATGTCGGATAGCAAAAATCGGGGATATATCAGGGGACATTGACTAAATATCGGATTGCCATATCGGGTAGTACGCATATGTATAATAATGTCCTAAATATAATCTAAGTATTCATAAATTCAATATAAGCATACTTTATAAATTCTATAGACTAGACATATAAAAAAGTAAATAATATATGGATTTGGGTTCATAAATTCTTTCTATCGGGTTCATAAGAAACCCTTAAACATGAGAACGGGTCAAACGGGTTTGGGTATTTATCACTAAACCCAAACCTGATAACAAAAAACAGATCTTAAAAAAAGTACCATATCGGCCGATTTTTCAAAGCTAAAAAATAGGCCGATATGCCCGATATGACCTGATATTTCCAATTTGGCCTTGAAAACCGACATACGAGTTGAAAACGTTCATGTCGTGTCGGTCAAGCCCTCAAACCGATATGTCGGCCGACATGTCGGACATGTCGGCCGACATTTAAAACCTTGATCAGCACAGCTACCCCAATCAGAGTCACAATAGCCCTCAATGCTCATGTGTTCATTCTTCCTGAAGATTAGCCTTTTTCCGGGGGCATTCTTCAAATACCTTAGAATCTGATACACTGCGTCCATATGACCCTTCCTTGGATCATGCATGTAGCGACTCACCACGCTCACTGCAAAAGAGATATCGGGACGTGTGTGACACAGATAGATCAACATGTCCACCAGCCTTTGGTATCTGTCACGATCAACTGGTTCTCCAGCTTCAGCACCCAGCTTAAACTTCTGATCGATCGGTGTAGTTGCAGGTTTGCATCCTAACATTCCTGTTTCTTTGAGAAGATCCAGTGCATACTTTCTCTGGGATAGGACGATCCTCTCCGCTCCTCGAGCTATCTCTATTCCAAGAAAGTATTGAAGCAAACCAAGATCTTTCACCTCGAATTCCTTACCCAGTCTCACTTTGAGTTGGACAATCTCCTTCTCATCATCCCCTGTAATAATCATATCATCCACATATACTGCAAGCAAGGTGATGTGACCTCCACTTCTTCGAAAGAACACGGTATGGTCGGCGCTGATCTGCTGGTACACCATACCTATCATAGCCCTCCTGAATCTGTCAAACCAAGCACGAGGAGACTACTTTAGCCCATAGAGAGACTTCTTCAATCTGCAGACCTTTCCCACTGTCTGATCTGTACCGAATCCTGGTGGTATCTCCATGTATACCTCCTCCACTAGATCTCCATGAAAAAATGCGTTTTTCACATCTAGTTGGTGTAGCTTCCATCCACCATTTACTGCCAGAGAGATTAAGGTCCGAACAGTGCTCATCTTTGCCACCGGTGCAAAAGTCTCATCGTAGTCGATGTCATATGTCTGACTATATCCTTTTGCCACCAAACGAGCTTTGTAGCGCTCAATTTGTCCATCTGGATTCTGCTTCACAGTGAAGACCCACTTGCAACCAACTGCTCTCTTCCCTTTTAGTAGTTTTACTAACTCCCAAGTGCGGTTCTTCTCAAGGGCCCTTAGCTCTTCGTGCATAGCAGCTTTCCATTTCTGGTCCTTCTTTGCAACCTGCCAATTGTTAGGTATAGTAACAGAGTCCAGTGATGCAATGAATGCTCCATGCGCAGGGTGGATGTTAGAATATGATACAAACTGAGCAAGATCCCAACCATATCTATCGGAAGGATTTCCCACATTACTGCGAGTAGTCCCCCGTACAGTTATTGGTGTGGGATGAGTAGGAAGAGGAATGGAATCACCTTGAGAGGAATCTGGTGGTGGTGTAGATGTCTCAGGAGTCGGGGCAGGCGTTAGCAAGAGACTTGGCACCAGTGGCACTGTAGGTATTGTTCCCGTAATTTATTTCCCCTTCCTACTATAGGTAAGTAGTTCCCCCTGAGCCGTTGGTCTAACACCTCTTATCTCATTCTCCACTTCTTTTTCATTCTCTTGCTCCTCCTCAACCAAGTCTTCTTCCCAAGGAATCGTTACAGAAATTGATTTTTCTGATCTCTCACCATTCTCAGACATTGATTTCTCCATATTTACCAATCTCTCACCATTCTCCTCCTCTCGCCTCATACTTTCAGTATTAGACGAGTTACCAACGGATGACGTTACCTTCCGGGTGTAATATGGCTCGAGTTCTCGGAAGTGCACGTCCATGCTCACAAACAACCTTTTCTCCACCGGGCTCCAGCAAACATATCCCTTCTGAGTAGCAGAATATCCCACAAAGATGCACTTCACAGCTCTAGGGGCAAGTTTCCCGACATATGGCCTGTTGTCCTTCACAAAGCACACACAGCCAAACACTTTAAGTGGAAGAATCCCACCATTATCTCCCTTCAATGTCTCACACGAAGACTTCCAATCCAACACTCTTGAGGGCATTCTGTTGATCAACGCTGCTGCGGTCAACACTGCTTGCCCCCACAATATTTCTGGGACATTCATAGAGATCATCATGCTTCTAGCAACCTCTAAAAGATGTCTGTTCTTCCTTTCCGCTACCCCATTCTGAGCTGGTGTGTATGGATAGGTTGTCTGGTGATGTATTCCCTGAGCTGATAAATATTCTTCAAACGCTCTGTTGGTATACTCTGTCTCATTATCCGACCTCAATATCTTCACCACTGCTCCGTATTGAGTCTGAACATTCCTATGAAAGTTTTGGAAGCACCCAAACACTTCACTCTTATTCTTCATCAAGTATAACCAAGTCACACGAGAGAAACAATCAATAAATGTAACAAAATACTTATATCCATTCATAAAACTTGTGGAACAAGGCCCTCAAATATCTGAATGTACCAAGTCAAATACACAAGAACTTCTATGACCTGAACTAACATAAGAACTTCTAGTAAGCTTTCCAAACTCACATGCATCACACACAAGTTTCTGTTTATTTGCTTTCTCAAATAAAGAAGGATACAATCTACTTAAAACACCAAATGATGAGTGTCCCAACCGCTGGTGATGAAGCATTAACTCATTCTCAGTACTCATATTAGATCCTACTCCTGCTTCCTTTACTACTGACACCAATGCTGAATCTAGCCCTTCACGATCCAGATACCACAGTCCACTACGCCATGTGCCAGTCCCAAGTCTCTATCCTGTCCCCTTCTCCTGAAAGATCACATTGGGAATATCAAAAGAAACAATGCATTTTAGTTGGAGGATGATAGAACTAATGGACAAATGATTGACTGGAAATGAAGGAGCATGCAAAACATTAGACAGAGTTACAGAACCAGTACAATCGACTGTACCCTTACCAACTACCGGCTGAAATATACCATCAGCTATTTGAATACTATCAGGTGATGCTAAGTGAGTATATGATGAGAACTCACTAGCATTACCTGTCACATGCCGAGACGCACCGGAGTCGACTATCCATTCTGATGATCTGTTGGGAGACATAGAAGCAAGAGCATGTATGTCATCAGTACATTTGGTCGGATGAGCATAAGTAGCAGTATTGCCTCTGGCGAAGAACGAAGTGGATGCCTCCTCAGTCCCACTCCTCAAATCTCCATCCCCTGCTACTTGCTGCTTCCTCCTGAGTATCGTCAGGAGAGCACGATCCTCCTTAGTAAAGACCACCTCAGCTTCGTCTTCTTCTGCTACCGTCAGATTCGCCCGATTCCCTGCTCCTCTGCCACCTTGTCGACCCCTACGGTCACGACCACGACCTCCGAATTATCCACGTCCACTCGAATCTCCTTCCTTGGGTGGTTTGGTGCAAACATGCCTTAGATGACCCACTGCACCGCAGTTGTAGCACTGTCGAGTCTCTCCCCTAGATCCAGTATTGCTAGAGGCTGCCAGTGCTGACTTCACCACCGGAAGTCCACCTGTCCCCGCCTGCAGCCGAATGCGAGTCTCCTCCTGGATCATAGCAGAGACAGCCTCCTCAAGCGTGGGAATTTTCGGCTGAGCTGGCAGTAATGCAATTCGCTGAGCGAATTCTGATGTCAATCCCTTGAGAAACACCATAGTCCTCTCCTGTAGAAAGGCATCCCGCTCTTTAAATCCTGGGTCCTTACAGCTAGCCCGGGGGAAAAATGATCATAGTCCAGCCACAGGCGCTCCAGCTCTGTAGCATATTCCTGTACAGTCCTCTCTCCCTGGACTATGGCGTCGATCTCTCCTTTAATCTGGAACACCCGCAGGTTATTCCCCACCCCATCATATGTTCTCCTCAACTTCTCCCAGATGTCCTTCACTTTCTCAATGCCATCCACCGTGACGGCGATCGTCGGGACCAACGAGTTGAGAAGCCAGATGTACACCAACATATGAGTGGACTTTCACTCATCTCGTCCTCCCGGGTCCTCATCCGGTTCTATCTTCTCTCCGGTCAAGTAACCCTCCAGGTTTTTCCCTGCAAGGGTGTATCTCACCTGTCGTGACCAACTCAGGTAGGTACTCGGTCCATCAAGCTTCAGATCGATGGTCGGAAGCTCCAACTTCTTCGATGGTCTTGTCGTGCTTTCATCAGCCGACAACTTCATCAACTTCATCAAAGTTGACACCTCCGCAGGGTTCAACTTCTTGATGATCTCCTCCATCGATCAAGCTTCAGATCAAACACATGTTCACCTTTCTCTTCAAACCCTTGTTGTGCGCAGTGAAAATTTCGACAGCACTTCTACTGCACAACAAGAGTAAGATCTCCAACAAATTCTCGTTTCTCAGAAGAAACTAGAATAAAAAAACAGTAGTATATCTCATCGCTGTGAGATATATACTCTTCCTGTCATCAGTTCGAGGACTGAGTCGAGGGAACCCATGCCAAACTCGAGGTCCGGCATAGCGCAGCAAGGGCAGAAGGGCGGGGAGGGGGGCTCAGTAGAACAGCGAAAAAAGGGGGGCTGATCCGCGGAAAGGCGGGGTCTGCAGGGGGTTCCAGAGGGGGGGTCTGCCAGGCGTAATTTCGCGAAGAGGTGGAACCCGGTCTTGTAGGGATTTCGGATCTGCAGCGCCTCTCTCGGTGCCAGGTCGGAGATGGCCGGGCAAGGGGGGGAAGGTCTGCAGCGGTCGAAGAAAGAAATGGCGAAGCGTCTGCCCAGGTCGAGAAAGTGGGGACGCTGCCCAGATCGGAGGGCGGATGGCGGGGGTTCTTGCAGGTGAGATCAGGAGATAGGGGGAAGGGCGTGAGCAGGCGGAGAAGGGGGGGGAGGCCGCCGCGCACTGTGGAGGTGGTGCTGGTGGCGGCGGCTAGGGTTTGGAGAAGGCTCTGATACCAAGATGAAATAGAAACCCTAATTCATTATGAGATCTCTTGGGGTTTTATATAGGCCCCTACATAACTTACAAATAAGTCCCTAACTAATACTAATATGTCAACAAGTTCACAAGTGAACTGCCTAATCCAGGGGCAAAGCGAGACCTTAATTCTTTTTCCATGATGTTGCTTGTTCGTTATTACTAGCTCTACGGATAGAGAAATATTATCAAGAACAAGAATTTTAATGCTTAGCCAATATTTAAATTATTAGATACACAAATTAAACTTGTTAAAATCTACAAAGCAAAAAAAGAAAATTACAACTATCGTAAAAGGTTTTGAGATTCTGAAACCCGGGATTGCTTGTGCATGTCATAATGAAAACTGAGCTGAATATTTCTGAAAACCAAATTTCATTTAAGATAGGTACACTGAAACCATTATTAAGATTCATAACAGGACCCAAATGCTGCACAGGTAAAACAAGCTTTTAAATCATTAGCAGAGAAATGAGAAGTTTACCCCATTTTGACCTCTTTAATATCCACCCTGTTTGCTGCAAATTATATATGATTTGTGAGTGCAGCTTTATGTCACAGGATATTGATAGCTGCAAAGAAGATAAGACACGGGCTATAAAACATCAAAGGAAGAAATATTCACCGAGAGATCTCTTCTGCTGCACTCTTTTTTTCTTTTGCTGTTCAAACTTATGCTTTCTGTTAAATAAATAAATAAAAAGTTAACTACTAAATTACTTGAATTAAGGTGCAATATAAGCTGCAAAAGAGAGTAATAATCTATCACATAGCTCATACTTGTAATCATTGCTGTCAAAGAGCCTGAGAACAGGAGGGTCTGCATCTGGAGACAATATTGCCTGCAATAGAAGCCAACTATCAGATCTATCTGCATTTCCACTTATCAGACAAAACTTGCAGCTACGGAAGTTAAAATTACACTGTGACGGAGGTCAGGTTTATTGAAAGCTTGATGGATTTCTGAACATTAACGTCACCAGTAAAGGTCTTAGAGGTTATGAGTGAATGATAACTGATAAATAAGAGATGGAGAGACGAAGCCATTGGCATAGCCTTCATTGATGATGAGAAGTGGAGGAATTCAGTGTGTGTTTGTGCCCTCCCTCCCTCCCTCGGTCTCTGTGTGTTGTGTGTGTCACATGATGGATGGTACTAGAACTTTTCAATGTGAGTTGTTGGAGATAATTTCTTTTTTCCCATGGGTTGTCATAAGACTCATAACACAGGTTTCTCAAGCTGTTTTGGGTGGATATACTCAGTGGCCCTGCATTGTCTCACTTCAAATTAGATAAATGGATCCCATCTGGAATAGACAATGGATGTACGCCTATTTTTAACCATGCACTCATTTTTAGTGAAATCTAGTTCACATGTATAGGAAAGTGCAAGGTTTTCAGAAGATTGAAACTATTGAATTACAACCTCCTTTGAAGAGCAAAAAACAAACTGAAGAAACTCTCAATTGAATAAATTGTGGATTTGCAACTTTTCAAATGTGTTTTTTCAATGAATAGTATTTAATATTTTATTACTTATCAAGCATATTAATAAAATTTAATGGATGGAAATATATGATGCTAGACACCTTAATATTAAACTTAACATTCACCAAATGGTGTGCAACTAACATTAACATAACAAAAAGTACACTAGGCAAATAGAGAAAAAAGATAAAGGATTCAAATTTCAAATTTATAACCAGGGAATACCACGTGAATTTAACTGATAACATATGACAATGTGCGCAAATGGTGCGACTTGGAGCCTTATACAGGAATTTCTAACCAGTTTTAGTATTATTCTTCAATTTTCTGTGTTTGTCATTTAAACATCTCAAACCAGTTTAGAACTGGGAATTTCAGTTTGGCACACATTGTTGGGTTTAGAGGCACCTGTTCTAGATCGACTGCTACTCAATTAGTAAAAGCTGTCTTAAGATTTTACACTTGCTTAATTAAAATAATACTTACCAGTACTAATTCAGAATCATCTGCCATTTGAATGGCTTCATCTATAGATACTACGCCAATCTGCAAAAGTTCAGAAAGCAGAGGCGGCTTAATCAGAAGCCTATCACAAACTCAAACAAGAGAAGACAGGAGAACAATACTAACCATACTCTGCTCTTGATCTAATAGCCTTACTGAATTTGACCTGAGACAAAAGAAATATACTTAAATTTTACATTAAAACAAAATTTTGAATTTTGTCGCATGAGATTGAAGACATAATACTCCCAAGATGCTTCTCATTCGATAAAATCTCTCATATGAAACATGAACATTAGCACTTGTTCTGGTCTAAAGCAAGAGTAGAAAAGAACAAAAAATGTCATCCCTTGTTGAAACATTCAGTCCAGAGGTCAACATAAGAGAGAACAAGGTTTAATATAATAACACTAGGTTACAAATTCTGTAACATTTAGAGTGTAGAAAATTCTAAAACTGTCAGGTCGGTGTGATTTATATCTAGAAAAATTTCAAGGAAGAGATAATTAAAACCAGTCAAATAAAGGGACTTGCTACATCCAATCTAAAACATATACACCTACATGAACAATGAACCCTTAATGTGTACTTCGTACTTGTTAGAGTATAAACTATACCCCTCAACCTCACTGCAACTTTGGAGTTTTGGTACAGTAGAAGGGACTTTGATAACAGTGGCGGACCCAGGAATTATAGTTAAACACGATACTATGTAAAAAAATGTATTATTCATCACTATCTAAATATCACATAATAAGACTTTCAACATCAAATTTCAAATTAGAATATAGTGTCTACAACAACATATTTCTTGCTTTCATTTCTCGAAATTGTTTCATGACACTTCCTCATCAATATTACAAAAATATTATCTTTTTCAATATAAGGCACCAATACTCATCTCCTATTCTATTTCGAAGGTCTTTCTTAAATTCTTAATAATTTTTATTTTCCGAAAATGCTCTTTCAATACTCATCGTTGCAACGAGCAAGATTAGTGCCAACTTTATCAACTTATACATCAAAAAATATAAAGCATTCATTTTCCATTTAACAAATTTCTTAGAAAGTTTACCGATTCCTTAAATTTCAGAAAAATCATAATGAGCAGCTACATAAGAAGAGACGTAGTTCTCAAGTTGATTGCGAGAAAAAACTCAAAATAGTTCCCGCTCACAAGAAGAAACTCAACAGAGATTCACTTTTAGAGCAAAGATTTTGCACTTTAGCACCCATCATCTTAATTTTTGCAAATTAATTAATGCCCCTTCTTTTTTTATTGGCCAAGGTGGGGCCAAGGCCTCCTTGATCCCCACCTGGGTCCACCCTTGTTGGACAAGGTATTAGCACAACCCTGGTAAAGCAGGTTTTAGAAAAATACTATTGTACTTATCCAAGTTTTAGCCAATGAAAAGGGCGTCTATAGGGGCATGTAGTATAATATTGTAAGCCTAAACTCTCAACACAACTATAGAGTTTTGGTGTAGAAGAAGGGACCTTTGATAGTACTCTTCAAGCTTAAATTATGGCATACATAGAAGAAAAGGAAACAATCATTACACCAGATAAAATATATTCTTAGAATTTAATAGCATCCCAAACTACCAAGGATGAGCACAACATTCTAAATATTATGAAATTATTCACACTCCAGTACTGAGAAAGAGCGGACTCAAAATGATCACCAAGGTGCTTTTCCGACAATCTATATAATCCAGTCCAACCCTTCTCTGTGCACCAGGCATTACTACCTTCCACAAAGACCGGTTCCAACAAAGATTCATTGTTTTAATTTGGGTGACAGACCACAAAGACTCGCTCCATCTATACACCATTTGATAAATTAACAATCACATTGATACAACTACGCTTCATCTTAACCATGCTCTTATGCCCTCCACCCTCCTAAACCTAATTGCATTCACAGGAGAGGGATCAGTTTTGTACTATACCACAGAAAGATATCTAATCTTACGGTTAAAAGCTTCAAACAAACTGCTACACCAAATATCTGAATTCCCCAATAATGGAATAGTAAAACTATGTTGCTCTGGACATTCCAACAAGGACGTAGCACAAAGACACGGGAAATTCTGAAATACAAACAATGTTTCTTGAGGATAACATGGCTTCTCAACTGGAGTGTTAATGCTATGTACTTAATACAACAAATTTTGGGGTCGGTAAAGGAATCATATTGCGTTTTATTTATTTGGGGTTATCTCTCCAGTTAAGTTGACCATTATCATATCTCTCAATACGCCCTTGCTCACTCGTCTTTATAGCAGGTTGGCATGAATACACAGCATTCCTGTGAGGGAACACCATAGCAAAATACCCTTGCATGCCAGTCATTGCAATTAAATTGGCATCAATGAATGTTTCATGGCAGGGCCACCCTTATGAACAGTCTTTTTAGGATTCAAATCATGGAGATCTTATTAGGTTCTATGCTGTTTCTGGTTACCTAATGCGTCCCCCCTCGGATCCTCATTTATCTTTTCCAGAGATATGCAGTGAAATGATAACTACTAAAACACAAGTACGAAACATATGCATTATCATTTAATATTCAACGACGACATGGTTGTCAATGTTTTCACAAGAAACTTGAGCTTCAGGATTCAGGTGGTGCTTGATTGTTATCATTTGGACTCTGAAAACATTTCTCTATAATTCCACATGAGAAAAATATAAGCTGAGCGTTAGTAATTGAAATGAGCAGGTCAGAAGCTGAGAGGGGGAAACTTAGCGCTATCAAGCAAAACTACCAACTCCTTAGGGCCACTGCTAACTAATTCTTATGACCATGAATGCGTATAGAACAGATTTTCCAGCTAAAACCAGTCGTTGACAAACATTCAAATCCAACGGATTAGAATTCTAACATGAAGAAATCGAACAACTACATACTCGATTCTGTCAAGATCAAGGGCAGGGTCGTAATCAGGGTCGACGAAGCCGGGAATTCCGCGGCCTGACGCCCTGCCGCCAGCGCCATTGTCACGGACGCGCTTTGGCGGCCAGCCGGACTGGTCCTGGGACACGCGCGCCCGGGGGCAGGGGGGGGCCCCGGTCGCGGCCCGGGCGGCGGCCCAAGCCCACTCGGAGTGGAGCCGAAAGATCGAGAGAGAGGGAGAGGTAGCTGCAAGGGCTTTATAAAGATTGGTTTTCGGCGGTAGGCAGCGGAGAACAAGAAGAAGAAGAGAGACGGTCGGAGCCCATGAAATTGAGACTGAGGAGCACGAAAAGGCTTGGGGGATTTGATTTGGGGAAACGAGAGAGAGGGGAGACTGAAGGGGCTTTGGTCACACCGGGACCTTATCTAAAACTTGAAAGCTCTAGCTCTAAATGTTCTCCAGTAGGCCGTACCGTAGATAAATAGATTCACCCAAGTTAAGAAGAGGGTTAGACCATCTCCAGCAAGGAATACCCCACCATATTTATTCATTCTTTTTCCTATTTCATATATATTACTATTTTATTATTATTATTATTAATATAACTCATATATTTATAATTATAATTTATTAATAATTCAATAAATAATATATAATATTTAAATATATATTATTAATTTAATTTTCAATAATATTTTTATGTTAACATAAAATAACACAATGTTAGTCTCTATTTATGTCCAAATTGTAGAAAGAAGAAGAATAGGGTGTAGAAACTCAGATTTTTTTTTGTGTCCAAATGACACAAAGTTAGTCTCTATTTATAGAGTTTGAAAAATGAAAATTAATGGTATAAAAATTATAAATTAATTCATTGTATTTATCTCAAAAAATATCAAATAAAAATAAGGAGGAAAAAAATAAAGCTTGCCCAATAGAAATTCGCCATGTGTCCGCTTGCATCAAGGCGCGCGCGTGGGCTTGTCAGATTCATCCGGGGTGAAATTTTCACCCTCTCTCCGATCTTATTTATTTCACCCCACAAAAAATCCCCAGCTGCCTTCAAATACCCCAAAAAAAATCCCCTGCTGCATATGGTCTTATAGCAAGTTTAGCCCGCTCCCAGCTAGGTCCTAGTCAGCAAGCTCCCAAGAGCTTTTAAGTATTTTAAAATAAAAAATTTAAAAAATAAGTTTTGGGGGTCCTTCTTATTTTATGGAGCTCCAACAAGCTCCTAGTTAGGAGCTCCAACAATATTAAAAAAGACTCATATTCTATTTTAAATTTTTTACTCATTATTTTTAATTATATTTAAATCATTTTTATTTCATTTCTAACCGTTGGATATGACCTTCGAGAGAGCGCACACAATCTTCGAGGTAACCCGCGGTCTTTGAGGGAACGCATACGGTCTTTGAGGTAACCCGCGGTCTTCGAGATAACCCGCGGTCTTTGAGGTTGGGCACGAAGTTCGAGGTATCACAAACTTTGACCGTCAACCGACTGATTCCTATAAAATTCGATGCATTCTCACCTCAACCCGTCATCTCCCAGAAAAAAAGGTCTAGCTCATCTAGCTCTAGCAATGATGAAATGATGAAGACGTTCTTTCTTATGGGAGCTGCTGTTGTCGAGGAAGAAGAACAAGAGAAAGGTTCAACTTCAGTTCAACAAAAAACACGCAAACACACATATCACTAAAGAATGATTTGATCGAGCATCTGTGGCAGCTCAAGGGATCCATTGCCAAGGATTAAGTTTCTTTATGTATAATGTAATTTCAGCAAAAAAGATCGAGTTGTTGTACTACGCCAATTTCATTTTCAATAAAGTAGTTGTTTTCATTCAATGCCAAAATTTTCAACTTCAAGTAGAATGATAAATCCAATACAAGATAACAATTGATAATTAGGAAGAACTAATGAGGATGCGATGTGAGTACAATTATAAATCTAATACAAGATAATATATGTTAATTAGGAAGAACCCTTAGACATCCACCTCTTCAATATCTCTGCCTGACGCATTTCAAAGTATTATTGTTGAACTAAATTAAGTTTTGAGAGATCCATCTTCATGATATCGTCATCTTGTTTCTTCTGTTTTAGATCCATTTTTTGATTGGTGGTTTGCTTCATCCACGCGAAAGCATCTCCCATGATGGACTTAGCGGACTCAGAGTTTTCGACTCAGAGTTTTTCACATTTTGTTTCCTCTTGAGCTTTGCCGCTTTCCTCCCTTCAGGCCTTGCTATAACATCATCCGAGTTAGTGTTCAACTCGATGGGGTCGCTGGCATGGAATTATTTGGTGAGAAATCAAAGTATGTGGTTCTTCTTGGCTGTGATCAAATATTATTGTAAGTTTCTAATTTTCGGATGGCGTATTGGCTCGTGTTCAGCCAAGCAGACACAAGAAGCTTATTCTCGTGGACAGTCCAATTTTTGGATGGCTCGTGTTCAGCCAAGCAGACACAAGAAGCTTATTCTCGTGGACAGTCCAATTTTTGGACCGCGTGTAAGCCTTCTTCTTCTTTGTGATCAGTGTTTCTTAGGATGGCACTTGTTGTGTTGCCGATTGCGATAACTCGATGGGGTGACCTTCTTCTACGACGTCTGTATAGAACGGTGGGTATAAGGTCGATCCTTCACCGTTAAAGAGTTGCGAATAAAAGTTTTGGGAGAGATCCATGATATTTGTAATTTGATAGGAAAATATAGAATTTTTTTGAGAGAGTTGTGTGGAATGATTTGTGTAGTGAATTGAGAATTTATAGAATTTTTTTACTGTTCAACGGCTAATTTTTAACACACATTTCGAAACTGGGTTCTGGGTTCAAATATAGGGTTTTTTTTTGTAAAAAATATTTTTTTTAATACTTAGGAGCTCCGTGGCACGAGCTCCCTAGCTCCATGCCATGCCAGCCCAAAGCGGCTCCTTGGGAGCTTGCTGGAGGGTTTGCACGAGCTCCAGTCGCCACATAGACCTTGAGAGCGGGCGGTGGGAGCTTGCTGCCATTGCTCTTAAGACCACTGACGGCAACTTGGACTCTACGTCACTTCTGACTTGATTCTTGTTAATCACATATCCGAAATCTTTTTGCACGCCAAAAAAACAGCATTTTCATTCAATATAATCAAGGATAAGTATATACAGACAAATTTTTTAATGGCATTCCGTCATATTCAAAATTATTCACGTTTTACTGTTGGTCACTGAAAATAGAGATAATTTTAAAATAAACCCTCCAAAACATGTTACTAAAAAGTGACTCTTACCTTACATCAAATAGGTCCATACGATCTCCGTTAAAACAAAAAAACTCTTACCTTAAATTTAACTAGGATTAAATTTAAATGTCCTACTCTCCTAAGTTACCCTCTCTTGTCTTTTATCCTCCTCCTTATATGTTTCTCCTCTTCTCTATCTCTAAAGTAGGAATAGTCGATAAGGGAAGTTCATTGACAATAATCGGTTTCAACCAACAATAGCCTAGCAAGACCATCAAGCGATGGTCCGCTTTCAATTGATTGAGCCAATGGGTGATAGGAATGAAGAAGGAGGGAGTATAATGGAAAAATGGGAGATTTTTTAACGGTCTTTTTTAAGGTTAAAATATCATCTCAACTACAAATACCTTTTGGTGCGATCGACTTGAAAGATTTTGTGACTTTTCTGAAAACAACATCTTTTGGGACCTACCTCAAATTGTCCATGTTAAATCAAAAACAATATAAGCAATTAGTAAAGGTTAATAGTATACATCTTAGCAATGTAATGCACATGAATCGAATAATTTTAATAATTAGTTAAGGCTATGTTTGGGAACTAATATTTGGATTTGGAATGTTGATTTAAAATCAAAGGATTTTAAATTTAGGATTTGAAATCAATGATTTGATAGAACCTTTTGTTTGGATGTCTTTACAAAATGCAAGGATTTGAAATCAAACATTTGAAATATAGTGTTTGGATACACTTTATTATACATGAACTTGGATTTCAGAATTTGTGTTTTAAAAAAATTTATGCTTTCTTTTAACTCCTCAATCTTTATGCGGACATTAAGGTTTATGTTGAGTTAAAAGTTAGGATAAATTTCACAAAACCCCTTGAGAAGTTTGACAAAATATCTTCAAATTTTCTAGTAGCTTATTTATTAATAAATTTCCAACAATGATATCCACTATATGAATCAATGTTATCTTCAAACCATCACCATTATTATATTCAAACCATCACCATTTAATTTCATAACAAAAGGAAAACAATGCTACCATCACCTGGATCTCAGAATATCAATTCCAATATATGTACGTCACGGGAAAACAAAAACATCTAACACAAATATGTATCCATATTTAAAAAACTCCATTTTCTTTTCAATAACAAATAACATGAAACTACTCTTACTCCTCACTGACACCTGAAGAAAAATCTAGATATTACATAATGGCATTGGCTACACTAGCAATCCTAGGCCACAAATCAGCATACATCTTTCCAATTGGTCCAGTAATTGCAGATCCTGAAGAAGCAGAAAACATCAATTGATATACATTAGATAAAGAAGCAAAAATAAAAATAGATCAAGTTCCCTACTGCTTTGATTGACAAAAGTACATAATAACTAAAAGAGACAATGTCTTGAGTTGTGCTAAGAGATATAAAACAACTCTTTCAGTTGTTGTCCGCAATATATTCTTCCAAGTACTTCTAAGCTCCATCCCAGATACACCACCTTGTCATCCAACTAAAAACTACTCCTTAAGAATAAAGAAAATAAAATCTCTTTTTTCATCATTTGGCTGTGCTTCAGTCTTTTTTCGGAGGACATCTAGTTCTTCAAGAACCTAGATCAGAAACATGAAGTCGAGTAATGTATTGCATATGGAGTTGGTTTTTTAGACTCTTAATGGGAGAAGACGTAATGTAATTGTGGAAAAAATTTTACCAGAATGTAAAATCGGAGAAACACAACATAAAAAAGGACTGAAACGCTTGTATATTAGCTACATTTTTCTTACCATCTCATAGTCAAGTACAAGCATTTCATAGGGCAAAGACCCTGCAGGTGCAGAAATGGTGGAAACAAAACCTGCGAAGTATGATAAGAGTGAAAATCCGAAGTATAAAAAAAGAGCACATATGTAAGATTGGATGCGACTTACCTGCTTGGCTAAAGCAATAGCCATTACCTTCTAGTTCCTTCCTTGAAAGCGTATAGTATATAACAGGAAAAGGTAAATCCTTCTGACTACCAAAGGAGAATTGCTTTTCTAAAAAAAAGAACCATAGATTTTTAAATAATAACATAATAAATGGCAACACTATATTAAATAAATATCAAGTCTCATATGCACTTGAGGGAAATGCTAACGAAAATGCAAAAGTTTAGAAACTAGAGCATTTTAGGATTAGTATATTTTGCATTATGACGCATTTAGACTATCTAATGACACCTCGGGGAACAAAGTGTTGAACAGAACTATTGGGGAGGTAATATTTTCTATCATGACAAAGTTTCAGAGTGATACATGTATTTTATACTTTACAATGAAGAACTCAGAATCCATAATGACTTTTGAGATCACTAACATTGTACAATTAACTGCAAACAATATTTACTCATGAACTGATGAAAACTACTTCAGTGCCTAATGACTCACCTTGTTTAGAAGTTTGACTGGGAACATGAGAATTCAAATCAACTTCTCACACTTTCTCTTCATTTTGCATGTTAGAAGCGCATCGATTGTTTCCATTTCATCTGACACGCAGCTGGAATATTATACATACACCTATGAGCAAATCTATCTGTACAAACAATATATTCATAAAACTTATCTCACAAACCTAAGAGCTAAAAAACTGGTATTGGATTACCACAACGATTTCTTAGACTTGATAGTATGCTGGAATTTGACATGTAAAGTGCAGCATCCAGGCCAGGAACATGGAGAAGAATGACTTTCTGTATAATCGGTTTGTTCTACCAAAATGTCAGATATTCTATGTTTGAGTTCTGAGTAAGTACAGTCAGTCCTAGTTTCCCACAGATAATACATAAAATTTTCATAAGCTTATAACAGAAGGCACAACCTCATAAAACCCACTCTCAGATCCAAAGAAGTAGTAGCTTATTTAAATACGGTAGTTTTCCCCTTTTAATACTAAAAATTTATCTGCAAAGTAATATTAATTGAAATCCAATCACAATAATCTTGAGATATCATTATGAGTGTCGTGAAAATGAGAGGAATACCTTTATCCAACACAAATCAAAGATGGCATTGTTATGCGCTGTCCAATCGCAAATCCTAGCTTCAGCTGAATTGACAAAAAAACGCATTTATTTGAAATCATAGCATTAAAATTAGTACACAAAAACCATGGTGTGCTACTAATTGTAGCCTTAAAGTTCAACCAAATTTCCTATCATCAATAAAATCTTTTACTTACCAGAAAAAAGATCAAACACAGAGAGAAGAAGGCCAAAGTGGTGATTAGTTTTTTGAGTATTATCTAAACATTGTCAGTTTATATACCAACTCATTGACACATCACATCACAAAATGGCATGAAATCGCAAAAGGGGGAAAAACTAATATCCAAGCAATATTTGGATGGATGGGTCTTTGTCAGTTTATATACTAATCCATTGTCAGTTTCGAGTAAATACATACATTTGGGCCACTTTGAGAACCATATTTAGACTACAAATTAAATTTGTCAATAGAGTGTACATTATCGAGTCACATTAAGTTCAGATACTTGCAAAACTAATTACAAAGCTCTATTGTCAAAATGCATTAGAAAAGATGCATGATACAATATTGCTACCAACATTATTTGGTGCAAAGATGACCATGAGGAATATGATTGCATTCATTTAAGCTAGATAAGGATATTTTTTTTGGGAGATAAATGTTCACATAAACCTGAATGCCCTGTTTGGATGGAGGGTAGAGAGGGGGAGGGGAAGAGAAATGAGGCTTTCACCTTGTTTGGGAGTTTTTTTAAGGAGGGTAGAGAGGAGGAAGGAAGGGGAAAGGAGGGTAAAATTGCTTGGTTTTCTTTCCCCCCGATTTGGGCGGTAGAGGAGGGGAAAGGAGGGTAAAATTGCTTGGTTTTCTTTCCCCCCGATTTGGGCGGTAGAGGAGGGTAAAGGAGGGTAAAGGGGTGTAATGACATTCTTACCCCATCAAAACAAATAAAATAGCTGATGTGTTATTAGTATAAAGTCATTTATGTAAATTTACATATATTTACTTCATTTCACCTTCATTCATCTTACTCAACTCCCAAACAACATATTACAATTCCCTTCCCTTCCCTTCCCGTTGTTTACCTTTCCTTCCCTTCCCTTAGGGCCTGTTTGGATTCGTAGGTGGTGAAGGGAAGTTAAGGGAAACTGGGTGAAGGGAAGGGAAGGGAATGGAAGTGAATTCTCTTCCCCTTGGTTACACCCCAATTTGGGGGGTAACAATTTTTATACTATTAGGGGGTGAACCAAGGTGAATGGAGGTGAATTAACTTCACCTCCTAAGTGTTCCCAAACAAGGTGAATGGAGGTGAATGGTTCCCCTAACTTCCCTTCACCCTCATTCCCCTCAATCCAAACAAGCCCTTAGTAAACTCCCAAACACACCAGAAAAGTAGGGTTTTTTTCGATATTAGTCCCCAGGACCTTTCATATTCTGTATATAGAGAAGTATATAAAATGCAACAGTCTATAGTTTTAACGATCTCCAAACTTGATATGAGAGTATGCAGTCACATTTAGTTCAAATTTCCAGAAAAATCAACAAAATTGGAAGATTAGATACGACATCCTCCATCTCCTTCCTCCGTCCACAAACGGACGTCATCCCGTACCTTGGACACCGATCCCATCCACTCAATCCCCTATCGATTCCTGCGATCTCAAGTTTCTTTCTCTTTCAGATGAACTCGCCGGTGATCTCTGTGGCGTCGACTCCTGCGAGGAACTTGAACCGCCCGACCTCCGCCTTCCACCGCTGCGGAGCGCAGGGGCTCGCCGTACAAGTTAGGGCTAGGGTTTGTAGCATCACAGAGAGAGGGGATTGTACATTTTACCGACCAAGGAGGAGGTGGTGGTTGCTGGAGCTCGAATCACCGGTGGCTCTAGATCAGATCTCATCGCCATGCGCCGCTCTCATCGCTTAAACCTTAGATCAGATCTAGGGTTTCGACTGTAGGGGGGAGGGGGGAAGGGGGTGGCAAGAGAGAGAGAGAGAGATGGGACTTGAAACGAGAGAGATCGAATGACAGAAACGGGACTTGAAACGAGAGAACGAGGAAAGAATAGTCGGGTCGGGATTTTGATAAATGACAAGGGGTAGGCTGGAATTTGAAATCAGTTAGTTTTGGGCTTTCAAATTCCTCCTTGTTAAATCAATTGATTTAAAATCTTGGTACAAAACAGAACCCAAACTAAATATTTGGATTTCAAATATCCTGAATTTGAAATCCAGACCCAAATCACAGTTCCTAAACACAGCCTAATAGTAAAGTCAGTTAATTATGAATGAACGTGAAATAAGGATTTACGCTGTCTCTTTTTTTAGTGACAAAAATTCATAACTTCATTATCACAAGTAGCTAGGGAAAATTTTCCAGATAATCCAAATTTGTTCATAAATATCCTTTTACACCCAACACGTATCTGAGGCAACAAACGTGCGGCACCCATGATATAATTACTATCACATAAAGCAAGAAGGGAAGGACAATAAAACCTACGAAACTCAATAAAAACTCACAAAAACTGAACAACCTTCGCACAATAACAAGTAATTAACAAAGACAACACCGAGTCAAACGAACAGAGGGAAAATAGCCGCGCAGGAGAATAAAGCAGACAAAAGCAAATGCGGCGTGTGTGAAGGACTGCCGCTCCGATGATTATGCCCCTGCGGCTTCGCACGAAAGATGCCGAATCCGGCCATGCCGCCGG